ATCGTAAAAAAGCAACTACAAAATGCGATAAAAGATTTTTCTTACATAGAAATACATATCTTTTTTTATAATTGTAATTATAATAGACAGAATTAGAATTTTAATGAGTGGGTTCTAGCTAAATCTTCTTAACTAATAGCTTGAACATTATCCAAGATTTTAAAAAGTATCAAACACAAGCAATAATAAATCTTTGTTTAGGAAGTTGATGAACAAATGCTGAATGTTCAAAACAAAAATTCAGCTTATTTCGTTGACTGGATCCCGAATAACGTAAAAACTGCTGTATGCGATATACCACCACGTGGTCTCAAAATGTCTGCCACGTTTATTGGCAATTCTACAGCAATTCAAGAACTTTTCAAACGTGTTTCCGAACAATTCACCGGTTTGTTTGAACCTGTTGCCCTAAGATATTAATAACTAACTGAATATTTTTAATACTGAATTACATATTTTTACCATGAATGCTCACATTTAATAATAAATTAAATATATCATTCCACTTCACAGTCTTTTTTTCAGCTATGTTCCGACGTAAAGCATTTTTACATTGGTTCACAGGTGAAGGAATGGATGAGATGGAATTCACGGAAGCAGAAAGTAACATGAATGACTTGGTTTCTGAGTACCAGCAGTATCAGGTATCAACTTTGCTACTAAATGAATAATACACTGGATAAGTTCTTATCCATACTTAATTTATTATTATCTTTATTAATATTATTATGTAACCAAGATTCTTCTCATTACCTACGAAGTAGTTGAAGTTTTCTATTTTAAAACATTATCACAGATGTCCCAAACTAAATAATACATAAAAGCAAAATTGATTAACAAACTTACTGGTGTACTGTACGTAACAATTTAAACAATAAATTATACGCAAGCTATTATTATCATATGATAGGATGCAAGCGCTGATGATGGTATCGACAGTGTCACTGAACCACCAGAAACAGAGTAACAACAGTACAGTCTGCATCTTATCCATCTTCAATTTCATCCCAATTTTTCAATATTACTTAGAATCTTTCCGCTTGTTAAATACTGCACTCTACTGGACTATACAATTCTAATAGTTTATTCTTAATAATAATACACTTTAACGACCTTTCTACTTCAATTTACTCGCATACCAAACCATATTGCTTTTTTTTTAATTTTATAAAAATGTTTTCTTACCTGCATAAATAAGCGACTTCATTCCCGACAAACACTTCGTTTTCCAGCCCACGAATATTTGAATCTTCATTCTTTGCTTGCATACCACCAAATATAACTCTCAAAAATGATTGGTTAGTATTATTTATGCTTATTCTTTCATGATTGCTTCCGATTACTACTCACTTCTATGACAATTACGAATCTGAAATGTTTTGAATACTTTCACGTTGCAAAGAATGTTCTTTCTGTTATCGTAGCTAATGCTAAATCTATATAAATGCTATTGTCCGAGTAGCACCCTTCAGAGATTACAGCATTTCTCATCGCTTTATTCCAATTCCAAAAAAAAAAAAGAAAAATGCTGAAATTTTTAGGCAGAACTTCTGAACCTCTACTGAATTTATACTGCATAAATTGTGCTCACCGCCTATTTTCAGTTCTTAACCCTGGAACAAAATATATATAACACCCAAACACATGAAATAACAGTGATATGTGATTCCATCTCAATAAAAATCGCGCGAAAAAAACTCTCGTTGATTCTTTGCATGCATTTATTGAGTAGAATATAAATAAGAAGAAAACAATTCGCAAAACAAATACAAAACAAGATTAGAAAGTGGCACATTTCACCGCGAAGCTCGTAAATATTATCATTAAAAATCAGCACTATGTTAGGACTTCCAGTTTTTTCGGAAACAATTTTTCCGTCTGCTTTATGTAAATTAAATATAAGCCATTCATGGTCTAAAAAGTCCTATAAACTAAAGCAAGAAATCCACAACGCTCTTTCTCCCCTAAATCTACTTCCTTCTACAGGATCAAGTACAATAATTCGTAGGATATAAAATGAAGCGAAGAGTAGTAGGGAGTAGACATTTGAGATATCGCAAATAATCTAAGAAGCAAAATAATTATCGAGAATTTTTTCCAGAGAGTTTGCGCAAAAATATTAAGAGAGATCCTGTAGAATAGATAATTCAAATTAACTTTTTTATTCGAAACAAATCTTGAACACAATTGTACACGGGAAATCAATCTCAACCGTACTTTCTTAAATCTTTACATTTTCACATAAAAATACAATGACTCTATCAACAAGAATAACAATATCAAGAAAATGACAACAACAATCTAAAGCAAAACAGGTAGTTTTCGAGGAAGCTAATGCTACATAATATCCAAAGTTGTGTCGATAAAATCCTCAAGAATTTGCTGTTTAGCCAGTGAAACTTCACCTTTCCTCAGACTTTTCCCATAAATGGGCCAATTCCGCTTTTTCATTTCCTTAACATAAATCCCCCATAATTCAGTTACATCTAATGCTGAATCACATTCACTTAAAACCACTCTCAACTGTGCAATACGATGCTGACTACGAAACCAATCGTACATTGACCGAATCAAATGATCTTTTTCGATTTTATTTCCATGACTTGCAAATATTTTTAAATCAGAATCCTGAAAAGATAAACTGGAAGAATTTCGGATTCTGAACGACTCCTTACATTTTTAAATACATTTTTGCACAAAACTATTTGCTTCACACTGATCAATTTAAAAACAAGAATTAAAACCTAATTTCTACACTTAGTAGCAAATTTGCCCAAATAATGCCTCCGAGATAAAAAAAATTATTGGAAAAATTGGCCCTTTTGATTAGTTCCGAAACTGAGTCCCTTTTGAAAAATTATATTTACAGGTATAAGACGATCGTATTCAGACTGTGGTAGATTCCAGTACCGACTCGGATCAACAGGAAATACTGCTCTCGCATACTGTTTCCACTCTTCAGTGAAATGAACACTGCGACCTACACCCTTACGTGCAACTACCGGTTTAGGTAAATCAGTTCGTCGAGGTATAATTTTAATATGTTTGTAGAATTTCCATGGTGAAACTTCACATCCTTCTTTCATATAATAAGCTGAGCTACAAAACAATAAATATCATAGATAAGCAACGCTACTACTTTTTGAAACAGCTTCTATAATGCCATATGACGAACACGATAATCTGTAAGTTATTTGCTGCTTACTTATCTGACTCCACAGTTTCCTTCTTCATTAATCTGACTTTCTTGTCTCGTAATTTTGATGTATTACCAGAAACATTAATAGAGATATCTTGTTTCAACATATTTGCATAATCACCCTCACGTTTGTTAGCTGCCGCGCGCCTTTTACGAGATCTGTTAATACCATCATTAAAAGCAGTATCTCCCATTCCATTTGATTCAGCTGACCTAAGAAAATATTTCATGACTAAATAAGATGTTATACACTAATGAATTCAAATTCTACATTAAAAAAATCTTCCGGCCGGACAGATAATCTTACAAACGCACTTTCCTTCATCATCTATATTGACAGATGAAATGTTTGTTATTGTTCGTGATTCTGCGCTCAACCTTTTCATCATTTTTTTTCCATTTTCCACAGGCTGCTGCTCTTCTACAGTCTCTTCTGCATACAGTTCTCCAATTTTTTTACATACTTCAGCTATTTTACTACTGCAAAAGAATCTGATAGTGAATTAGTTAAGAAAAACTGTAAGATTTGAGCTGAAAAATATTCATCTGTCTACAGTGAATAAATTAGAATGACAAACCCCAAGCCAAATATTAATATGTATAAACAATTAGTACAATACAACAAGAAAGAGGTAACAGGATAAGATGATATACGAGAAAAGTTGCATTATTTAAAAATGCCTTAAAAAGTTTTACATAAACCAAACTTATTTTGTTGAAAATTATGAATCACAATGCACATTTTAGATGCAAAGATTTATAAACGAAAGCTATTCTTTTTAAATGAAAGAAATACTTCATTTTGTCGACTTCTTTTTGCAGATTAACATTTTCTTCCACCAAGTTGCGATAACGATCTTGAGCCCTTCTTTCGAATTCAACAATTTCCATTGATAACGTTTGCACTTCCGTAGTTAGTTTTTCAAGAGAATTTTTCATAGCAAAGAACTTGAAAGATTTTCTAATGAACTAAATACACGAATACAAATTATCAAGTTTTTTATTTCTGATAAAACCAATATAAAAATCTTGAGCTTGTTAAAAAAACCTCATTTGAAGTACTTGGTTGTTCTTCGCGTCCATTGCTCACTCTTCTACTTTGACGAACATGTAACCTCAAATCTCCTGAAATAACAACTCGAAAACCAAAATTCGTGACTGATTCTTCATCAAAAATTTTACACTTTCGTCACATATCTAAACAAAAATTAAAAAAATAAAATTTTCACATATTCCCAATTACTACAAGAAATACATACTACTGACAGCAGAACAAAATTCCTCATTAAATGGAAAAAGAAAATAAACTGTGATCCTAAATGTAATTAAAAATACTTGTACCTGGAGTTCTGCACGTACTGTTCATCAGTTTACCGTTTGTTTTGGAATGTCTTCTCATAAGCAAGAGCCTATTTAAACAAGAAACGCCTAAATATGACAGCACTCAACTCATGCATTACTAGAAAAACGCAAAATAAGTGAATAATAAAATAGAACTTATTGAAGCAAATAACTCATCAGGAATACTACCATATACGAATGAAGCTGTTTAACTCCTTATCGATCAATAGTGAACAAGTATCGTTTACTTTGTAAGCCGCTAGAACATAAAAGGCAATTACGATCATGTCAAACATAGTCTTTTCATTAACGTCATCACACTTTCGATTCATACTATTCAAAAATTTAAACATAGAACTCATAAAAATAAAGTAAACACATTTGTACTATAACAATAAAAATATGAATGTTCAGTATCAAAAAATTTTATTAAAGTGATACCATTCAACTTCAATCTAACAGATTAACATAACAAAGTATAATGCGAAGAACATTTTCTCAGATACATGACATCTTTATTTTAGTTTAAAAAACATCATGAAAGCTTAAACATATAAAATTTTTTAACTTATTTTCAATTTTTCTAATTCTCCCACGATCTCATCTTCCTTCTCAATTTTCGTCAACTGATTTGCCTCTAGTATCTCACCACTTTCTTTTCGTTTTTTCAGCTCGTTAATATGAACAAGCTTCCTCCGTAATCTACGCATCTGAAATATTTTGATCCCTACTAAGATGCACAATTTTTCAAAATAAACACTGTGAAAATTTTAATTTGCACTATGACGACATATAAGTAATTTTCAAACATTTCAACCAATATGTAATGGAAAATAAAAGGTGTATTATGTACATCATATATTCCTTAAAAGATAATTATATTTGCAAATGCAAAAACTACATCTCGCTCTTCAAATTTCGTTGTGCCTTTTACGTCAATAATTTTCCCGTAAATACAAACAACTAAGTTTTAACACTCTAAAATGAGAACAATGATAAAACAAGAACCATTTTCTTTTTTTCAGCAGCTGGATCTCCTGAATTTGGAACAGTTGTTGCGACTTTCAATGCACCTTTCGTTGATCCTTAGCAAATAAAATACAAAATTTGGTCACAAGAAATGTAAATCTTTGGGATTTTTGAAGTTGTAAAATAAACAACTTCAAAAATCTCATATTCAAATTTTATACTTTACATCTTCTACTAAAATATAAAACTGCCACCTATCTCTTTAAAATTAAAATGATCAAATGAAAACAAAAAAACCTTTGCGCAGATGTGGGGGGACGTAAGCAGAATTTTTTCCGACCGTTCCTACTGTTACAAGCTTCGTAACTGGATGTTTAAGACTTGAGCTTCTGTCTTCTAATGCCGAGTTAGTATCTGTTTCGACATTAGTTTTAGATGCAACGATTGAAAAAGAATGGTAAATATTATTCGGGACAGGTCGCCACTGAACCTGAAAAACTCAAATACTTAATTAAGCTCAATCTGGGATTACTTAATCTTCCAAATTTTTTTTATCCTCGTTTATAGATCACAGTACTGCGCAATATAATTTCTGAGAGAAACACACGATGCATAGATGCATAATAAAATACACATTATATATCACAAGTAAATCATATACTGCCCAATTGCGATATGCTGTATTTATTGTCAGGCTTAGACACATGAAGTACGCTAAACTATTAACATCACCGAATCACTGTAATGAAACTAAAAATCAATCTAAAAAAAAGCAATTAACTTTAGGTAAATTATTTTCTAATAATAGGAGGTATTTTGGTAGAATTATGAACCTGCCACAATTCCAAAGGATGATCGTATCGTTTTTCATATACTAAATTGCCATTGTAATGCCAAATCCTGAAGCAATTATCAATACGAAGTCGTGGTGCAGTTGTCGCCGTCATTACATGCTGACCATCTGGCGCCCACTCTAACAATGTTGTATTCGGTACCTCAATCTGAATTCCAACACAGCTAAAGCGAAGAAAGGGAATTGTGGTAGTGTGGTAAAAACTCCATGTTTATATAATATCACATAATTTGATACAATAAAGTAAGTGTAACAAGCTAAATAATGAACTAGAACGAACCGTAACAATTTCACGTCGTTCTTCTACGTCCCAAAATTGCATTCGCCCGCTAGCAATATTTCCAAAACCACATAATACTAAGATATTCCCAAATCGATTATAGTAAATATCATTCCTTGGGCCTTCCCCAAAGTCGAAAATTGCATTGCATTTCAAATTGTACAGTGTCACATGAAAATAATGTTAAAAATATTAGGATTAATGTGATCAAAAACCTTTCTTAATCAACAAATCAATGCAATACAATTTGCAAAATAATGTTAACACTAGTCCCACAAAATCACTGAATTTCAGAAACATCTATCACAAGTTTTGATAGTATAGAAACAAATTCATAGAATCAGTAAAAAAATACCCTTGCTGGCATAAATCCATAGCAGACAGCAAACTGTTTTCCCGTCGGGCTCCACTTGGCACAATGGACAGGACCAAGTTTATTAAGGGGAACAGCGCAACTATCACCATTTACTGCCATCAAATATAAGTTTTGCTTACCATAGTAACTCATGTTTGATTTATCAACATCCAACATAGCCATTACTATTACAGCACTTCCTCAAAAAATTTTCCTAGTCAAGAACAAATCAAATGCATTAGCGATTTGGCTATCACTATGTACAGAACAAATAAAAATTATCAGATCGAAGTTCAACGTGGAAGCAGGGATACAATAAATCATAATTAATGAACGCAAATTCTGGTATATACTTCACAAATGTTAAATATTTCATAAACATGGCGCGTTTTATATAAACAACATATAACAGATTTTTTTTGAAATGAGTCCACGCATATAAACAGTATACCTTTGCAACTCCATAACAAAGAAACTTTGTCACACTGAAAAAGAGTTTTGGTAGAAACTATTGTGAATTTATGGTCCAACCTGAAATGATACAGAATCAATACATAAATAATCTAAAGTGAAAAAAAATAATACAAATACCTATAAAAAAGTGTAGCGGTTTACAGACAATGCACGATATCAGAAGAGATTCCAAAAAAGAAAAAACAGAAAATATGCTGAATGCTTCGTAAATGAACATTATTTAATTACACTGGTTTGATACCTTCTAAGTTGAACAGATGCAGGGTTTCCACCTTGTGTTGGAACATATACCGCAATATGATGAGGTTCCATCCCATGGCTTAGAGAGCAACTTTCAGTTTTAGGTACTAATAATTTTGATTCATATTTGTCTAAAAAATATAATATTCTGAATTAATAATGCTTGCTTCACAAAAATACCTGATACATGAAAACAATGACATTCCAGTGATAGTACTATTATTAGCATAATAGACGAAAATGAAGAGCATAATGCCTTAATATCTTTTGCACAAACAAAACCTACCAAAACAATTATATTTATGAATGAAAATTTCGGAACCAACTAAGCGGACCAAATAAATTTCATCATCAGTCCACTGAATATGCCATGAGTTCTAAAACTGCAGATTTTCCAGAAATCGAAAAATGTTAAAAATTAAAGCTCTAAAGCAACGACCCAGTTTTATTAATTTATGCGGCACGCTAAAAGAAAGAGATCAAACTGCAACTCCTCAACTATATAAATAAGTAGCTTTTAACATATCAGTCATAAATAAACTCATACGTACCTGTTTTTGGGCAATTAATGTTGTAATATGCTCACCATCTGGAAGAGACCACAGCCTGAGATTTGGAGCTGGTTGTCCCTGATTTTCAACCTAACACAAACTAAAGTACGTCAACAAGATAAAAAGGTAATAATTATTTTATTTATGTTTTTATTAATTCATTCTTTCGAACTAGAAAAATTCTGTACAAATTTCGATGCATTGAAAATCTCAATGAAGATTTATTCCATTACAAAAATATTTGAGAACAAAAAGATAAATAAATTATTATTAATTGCTAAGATAATGCAACGAAGGATGGAACGTGAGGCAACTGTTACAGACAATCATGTCGGCTCAAAGTCACGCAAGGCGATATATATAAACCGCATGCGAGCTCACATAAAAGCGCTATTTTTTGGCACATGTTTCCCAGGTATTAAGGTCATTTAAAATTCCTTCACCAGAATGCATGTGCAGTCGGGAACCGAACTAACTATACTTCATTACGGAGAGTCAAGAACATACCCTCAACACCACCCACACTCCGTACTTATTATTATTACAGATCTAATGTTTAATTATAGTTCTAACCTTCTACAATCTAAAGCACTCATAATCTAAAATTAATATAAAAAGTCCAAATTTAAAGCTAGTGCAATTAAAACAATCATTCTTTTAAAAAAAAAAGTTAATTAAAGATTTGCCAATAACAATTTATCAACTGAATCGTAAATATTCATACCATTTTGAAAGCTATGGAATGAGTGAAAAGTTTTATTTATTGTCTTTCTAACATTATGCGCAAACACAAATAATTTGCAGCACATTTGGAGACTTCTTTCTCTTTTGAATCATTTAACACAACGATGAACATTTTTCCAAAAATAATGGAAGTATTATATCAGACTTAGAGAATTCCTCCTTAACTATTCAATTCGTTTTGAACCAATTAACGTAATGCTTTTATCTCTTACAGACATAATATAAATTTTAAAAACGTAATATTTCACTGTATTCATAATGGGACATAATTTTAAGAGGTAGATTGAGAAGTTATTAATGTTCTGCAAGTTCTAAAGATTTCGAATTTCGAAACATAAGAAAAAAAATAGAAGCCAACTAACTGTTTTCGCAATATACGTAACATATGGCTCATATGTCGCCAAAACACGATCTTTCGGAGAGAAAAGAATCTGCTGAGTACGTGGCAAATCAACATCAAATATTATTCTTCCGGTAGAAACTTCAATTAGCACTGTTCTGGAAAATTTACTCAGTTGCATAGGTCTTTCCAACCAAAATGTCGTAATTATAAATATGAATGAAAAATTCAAAAGCTTACTTTACACCATCGCAATAGCAAAAGTATTGTCCGGTATTACTGAACTGAAATACTCGACAAGAGTGCGATTTCGAATCTCTGTAAAACGTTTAAACGTACTTTAAAAAATAGCTATAATTAGTGATACAATTAAACTGACAAATTTTTATGCGATGTGAATAGCAACTATTCCAAAAAAAAACTATTACACGAATTTATCGTAGATTTTTGAAATGTGCGTTATACCTCGAAAAATACCGAACCCATCAGAACCACGCACTGAAAAAAGAAAATATACGCAATATTTTAGACATTATCAACAAACGGCTCAGTGAAGCATTAAAGAATACAGACTGTATTTAGCGTGAAAATCTGGATATGAAAAGTAAATAGACGAATTAAGTACAAAAGGAACCAGCAAAATGCAGATTCTCACTCATTGTCGAAATCTTGACTCTTCTTTTTTTCCAACTTATTCACAAACACAATGAACCCAACAAATATACGAAGAATAGACACGTAAGCCAAACGTGCAAATTCTCAAACGTGTTGCTTACAAGACTGATAAAAACTGCCTATAATAATGATCCATCAAATAAACAGCGACATTAAGAAAGATTCATTAAATAGATCATTTTTACTATCGCCGTTTAAAAATTTTTTTTAACTTCGAAAGTACTATCCACTGATTTGATCAAATACACAGCGAACTGATAAGGACTGTTACAAATCACAAATGTAACTTGATGACAAATATTTTATCCCATCTAATAAGAAATATGTATACAAATATTAATCACAAGAATGAATCACTTTACAAGTAACACTTCTAGAATTGAAAATTCAATATGCAGTCAAATGAACTGAATATTATAAAAATCTTCAAAATCATAACAAGATTACTTTTTTTTCTTAAACCTCTCTAGCCGTTATAAATACTACTACTGGTACTCTAAATCATCAAAAAAAAATTAACATCATGAGCTTTTGACAATAAATTATGTCAACAAATCAATCAGGATGAAATATCACCTTCTTAAGATTTTGATGCACATGGATAACTAAGTTCTCAATAGTTATCTTATTATCATGATTTCTGACAAGAAATAAATGAATAATTAAGTAATTTATTCATAATCATTGAAAAAAAACACAAATATGGCTGTAAGAGAACAAAATCTGAAATCCTAGTTGATATAGAGCAAAATGTTATTTTCTTTCATGGCAAAGAAAGACAGGATTTTCTTATTATTTGCCGATCTAACAATCAGCAAATTAAAAGACATTTTGAGACCAGTCACAACGATGAACAGCAAACTTTGATTTATAAAATACAGCCATATCATCCATTTCCCTCATTAAATTTCTGTTCAGAGACGATTAGCTTCACATACCTAAAACATTCATTATAAGAACAAATTGAAGTTACTGCAATATTACTGAAATTATTACCATAGCGTTCCGAAAGGCTTCAATACTAATCAAACATATGATTGGAGAATTATGCTCTCTATAGTCCAAAAATACAATTTAACACTAAGGACTATCAATTATAAAGAACTCAAAGCTTACTTTTTTGATTATTTTTCGTTCCGGTCTTCGTTTGAAAATATACTCATCTAGCCTGTTGTCATCTGAGATCTGTTTACTTTCTTCATTACGTAACTTAAAAATACATACGTATATGCACATATATTCTTCAAAGCTCATGAAAATCAAACTTAAAAAATGACATGAAATCGTAACAACAAATATTGCGTTGAAAGTTATTAAAAAGGAACTAACAAACTGGTTTATTGCTGACTAAATTATAAATGAAAATTTCACGATATGAAAATTGAAGGAACTAATTACTTATCTACGTTACCGGAAAGCGTAATAGCTGATGACAAACTTCAAATTTCAATCGTTTTTTCGTGGAAACTTTTTCTTCACTAGGCTTCAACGTTGTATTTGGAGCTTCATTTTGATCAGCAACTGCTGCTCCATGGGGAATTGGATCCGATACTTGAAAAAGATTATAAGATTGTTACAATTTACCACATTAGTTTATTACCATCATAAGCAAACAACGATGATTCAATATATGTATATGAACACCTAAACTACTAGAATTCCATTTTTGACTAGCTATTTAGATAAATTCAGCAAGAAAAAGTTCGTTTCAACTTATTTTTTATAGGTAATTATTAAATGGAGAGCAAAGATCTTCTTATAAATATTGAAGATGAAGCTCTGAAAAAATCTTCCGCAATCTTTTTTAGTACATCGTATTTATCGAATCAGTTATGCTTGATACTAGAGCACAAAAAATTCTTCAAAAAGTCTTAAAAATGAATAACTAGCAGAAACCATTTTTTCTATCCGCAATTTTCTCCTCTTTCGTAGGATTCGCTGAGATTTTAGGATCTGACACTGAATACATCAAAGAACTTTGCATTACACTAATGGCTGGATCTCCAGAATCGATTTGATTGATATCAGCAATTTTTTCATTGAGACTTGTTATCTGTTCAGATAGAGCTTCTGTAATGACAATGTCAAAATGATAGTACCTCAATATCAGTAAAGACTCAAATAAATGACAAAAAACTTTATCAGAAAGGTAAAGGCACTTATTTAAAAAACTTCATAAAACTTCAGACCATTTATATTGAAAAAATGGAAAAGAAAACAAAAAAACTAATCTTGAAAAAAGTCGAATTTTAAGAAAAATGATTTTATTAGTATATTAGACAAAGCTAATCAAATTTAAATAGATTTTGTAAAAATTAAGCAAAATTTCAAAAAAAAAAAAAAACCTCTGCATGGCTTTAGAGTTGTCAGAAAAGCATTATTTGAATGTTTCTTTGAATCCAAAACAAGGCGCTTCTTCATGGACTCTACTAAATTAGCTAATTCCCGAGATCGCCTATGCTGATCTAGATACCGAATCTCATACTCTCGAGCTTTATCAAAATATTCCGTACGGTCCTTTTCTGCCTTTTCTAACTTCCCATACAACACCTTCACTTCTTCTCTACAAAAAATGAAATAATCAAGAATAGTTTTCTAAGCACAGCCACAAAATAATTTAAATCAAAGTTTTTACTCCTCAACTGAAACCAGTCAGCCATGAATTTCTAGATCAAAGTCAAAAACCGATAGGCTTTCATTAGATTACATATAAAGTAATTCTAGTAGAGCGAAACTGACTTAAGGCTATTGAAAGCGAATTCTTTGAAGTCAACGACTCGAGATGTGTTTGGGACTGATTCTTCAATATTTTCACTGTATCTATTTCGTAACTTGGTATTAAGTGTCATTACTTCCGTACGCAATCGAGAGATTTCCGATTGTAACGTGCTCGTATCACCACCTAAAATTAAAGTCCTGTCTAAAATGAAAGGTCACAAATAAGCCCTAGCAGGAAATGACTAAAAAATTCAGCAAGTTGTTAATGAAAGAAACATATTTCTGACAAAAAATATGCTGTTTTTCAATATCCAAGCACCACGTTCCACACTATAGAGTATCTTTACAAAATAAAAAGACAAATGCAATAAAATGATCAACTTTCTTTCTATCATCAAATAAGGTGCCAAATTTTTCTTGACCTTGAATTCATTTTTCAATAGACTTTTGGCATAATACTAAACTACCCTTTACCTAATGTTTCTTTATCCTTATGCGAAGTTAATGCAAGAACCAACTCGTGTCGCAATTCGTTTAATTCCAATTCATTTGCTTCTTTTTGACTAATAAGAAAGTCATTTTGGGCTTTCAACGTCAGGAGATCTTTTTCCAATTTGACTCTTTCATCAACAAACTAAAAACGATTCAAAAGGAATTAAACTATCTAGTCCAGTTAATCTGAGATACTACTGACCCGAAAATCAAAGTTAAATTCTCTTAAAATTGAAAGTTTGGCTTTTTTATTCAAAGCTCTAGTGAATTATTCAATTAACAATCATATTTACCTCAAAGAACATAGAATTTCCTTTTTTTGCCATTTTCGACTTGTTGCTGTTTTCCAATTTAGATGTTAGTTCATTACACAGTACTTTCAACTCCTATAAGATACCATATTCGAATATTATACTCAAAACCTCCATTTATTAGTCTTCATTAACGTGAAATCTACAAATAATGCGAATAAAAAACAAACATCCACATCGTGTTTGTAGCCGTTACATATGGTAGTAAGTTCTTCTACACGACTTCGCTCATTTTCTAAATTTCGATTAGTAAAAAGTAATTTTTCTTGCAGGATTGAAATTTCTTCAGCCATCACGATTTTTTCTGATTCCAATTCTATCTGAACAGTTGATCAGTCATAAAGAAAACAGTACTAGAACACTTATTGAAATGGAAAACACATAAATGCTAAGATTATTGAATGAAATATTAGCCAAAAATTATGATAAAAATAATGAAAATTTTTTTAAACAAACATAAAGGATAACCATTTTTTCCTTCAATTTTGTTTGCTCTGATTCTGAAAATTTATTTGGTGTATGAGGAACTATAGTTTCAGGTTTTTTTGACACTTCTTGAAGTTCCCGTTCTTTCGAAACTAATATTTTTTTCAGGTCTTGTACTTCTTGCTGTCGCTGCAGTAACATTCCAGTTTTTTCATCAACCTGTTAATAGATAATTTAGCAAAACTATATTTAAATTTCGATGTTGTGTTGTGTCCAATAGAACATATCAGAAACGAACTTATGATTTTTTTAAATGAGATAAAACAGTAATTTTTAATTGGATATAATTTAAAGTGTGACGAAAAAGAAAAAGTAAACCTCAAAATCTTTTAATCAAAAACAGATAAAAAATAAAAAAATCAAAAGAAAACTAGGAGCTGCTATTTGCATTTTACTTTTAACAAACAGCAAAAGTGATAGCTACAGCGAAAGAATTGAAAACAAAAAATAAAACAAAATAAATATAAACCTCAGCACGGAGCAAAGACAATTTCTGTTCCATTTCTAAATATCCACTTTTGCACGAATTGATTTCAGCAATTTCACTGCGAAGTTTCGCTACTTCGCTTTCAGTATCAGCCAGATATTCATCACGACTTTTGATTAATGCTTGTAATCGAGTTAAATCCTGAAACACAATTTCAGTATTTTCAAAATATAAGTTAAATTGCCTCCACTCATAAAACCAGTTTGCAGCACCGACTACCATACAGATCTTGCATAATTCATGATTAAATCAGAGTAAAAAATCTGAAAAGAAGCAAAATTCGAAAAATGACTAAAATAACTCAAGAATAAACAATACACAATAAGGAATTTATACTTGAAGAAGTTGTTGATTCTCTTCAGTAAGAGTTAAAAGACGCTGATCTTTCTCTTTATCTTTATCTAATACCTCCTTTGCCAAATGAGCGATGGCCAACTGTTTTGATTCAGATTCTTGTAACTTCAATCTGCAGTAATTATTTAATTTTAACTCGTACAATCAAATAATTTGTTGCATTTAAAAAATAGAACGATCTTGAGCAGTTCTTTAGAAATTTCTGCGAAACTAAATAACATAAAAGAGAAGTGCATTCTAGAAAGACGACGCGCAGAATTTACGTATTATTTAATTCATCGGAATTTTTCAGTAAAAATTTATATATATCTTTATTAAAGGAGTTTATGGTTTTTAAAGTGATCCTTACTTCAATTGTTCAACCTCAATTTCCATTGATGATATTCGAATAGCTAAGATTAGTAAAAGTATCTGAAAATAAAAAATATATTCTAATGCAACTGCGAAAAATAGAAGCTTCATTTGACTTTCTTCACGAGCACTGTTCGCAGATAAAAATGTGCTTAATGATACATTTACTTCAAATTTAATTCACAGTATAAGTGAAATAAAGATAACTTCAATTCTCATTTATTTATATTTAAAAAACAATCTAAATCTAGCAAGAAAACTGACAGAACACTAAGTGACAGAAATTTTTGCTCAATCTTTTGTGAATTTTTATAAAGTGAACAATGACTATTAATTGTTAATTTAATTTAAATTAAAATAATTAAAAATAAAATAAGTTAACAACAGCGGAACTTGAAAGTTTCGTCCCTTCCATTTTCAGCATATTTCCTGAACGTTTTGGAAAGCACTATCTCCACAAATAAATAAGAAAAAAAGAAAAAAAAGACAAACTATCTCAATCCACAAACAGTCAATTTGTTAATAATAAACTGATTCGAACTACTGCTGCAAAGGTAATAACTGAATCGAACTACTGCTGTAAAGGTTTGATTTGAAGTTTAAATAGCGTTGCATGCAACGAAATGTGCAATTGACGCGGCTTGAAGAAGTTACATTGAATTACTGTAATTAAATGGCATGGGTTGTTATTCTCGCTAAATTAGACGTTTAGTGTTATTAGATCTAGAATACATTTTCGACTGTTATTATTTTTATTATTAAGCGGTAGATGAGAAGAAGTGATAGTAATTATCATTTATGTGTAAAATAATGTTTTATTATTCAGTCACTACATCAAAATGTAAGCAAGAACAGAAGGCATACTTATAAAATACTGCAAGACCTAAAATGTACTGAATACCAAATAGGTCAATTGAACATATTATAAGGCATTTTTTATACTTTTTTTACAGTAACAGAAATATCAGAAATTTATATTTCATGCAAAAATTTTTTTTAAATTAATTAATCTATAAAAGGAAAAAACAAATAAGCGTTTCAGCAAGAACCATAAAATTAAATGACCGTGGCAAAGGAGATTGAACACATATTTGATCAAAAAATTCATATTTCTTCGATTAAAGTGGAATACTGTTTTCAAATGTAGTCTAAAAATTAATGCCATAGTTTGATTTGAAAATTGTAAATTTTGAATTCATTATCTAAATTATCATAGTGAAATCAACAAAAATAGCACAGAGGTAACAAATTAATCAGTATAAATGTCATGTTTGCATAGATATAAATAAATTACAATATAAAAAAGAGGCATTAATTATTTTAAACAATTCAAAATTAATTCAAATTAATATTTTCCAGGTTGATATGGTCCAGCAGAATTGATGAACCAGGAAACAACAAGAGTGAACGATACACCACATAAAACACCTAAAGAGAAAATCATAAAACTTCATTATCAATAGGTTTAAATTGCAAAATCACAAATATATCTGAACTGTGAAACTGTAAAATTTATTTTTAGCTGGTAAATTGGATCAGTACAGTACAGCTAGATCAGTAAGATTTACTTTTGTTTATCCGAAATGAAAATCCAAAAATAAGCCATTAACTAATTTCAGGTATTCATATTCTCAATATTGAACTATCAGAATTGTTCAAAAAATTTTGCAAATTTTCAGAAATTAAGCAGTTATTAACTATTCTATGAAAAATTCATACCAAATATGAGGAAAAAAGCTGAAATCATTCCAGCAACTGTTGATTTTGATACCTCCACTAGTCTAAATTATAAATTAGCATGTTTTGACCAAACTCAAGAATTTTCACATTCTAATAATTAATATGTTTTTGTTTCTTCAAATCTTTTTAGCACTAATATTAGCAAACAACAAAACGAAATTCGGAACATGTCAAGTTGATTATATTTAATATCATACTATCGGTGGAATGATCACTTAACTGATTGCTACTAATTACAAATCTGATTATGTTGCTTAAATTCAATTAATGAAATTAATATCGACTGATAACATTAATTCAACCAATAATTATATAAATGTCCGAAAAAAGTTGGCTTATGACAACACTAGAAAAGTATGAAATCAACCTATTAGTGTCTGCTTAAATATTATATAGAAAATCTTTTTTTTAATTAACACAATAATTACAATAGCATTTTTATGAAGTGAATAATAAGCTAACTTACTTCGGAGCATACATCATAGCTTTAGCACTGTAAAATCCGCTACCTATGGACATTACAATAGCCATTATGATGTAGATTCGAATATCATAAATCCATATCTTCCATGTTCGGTAATGAGGTCGGAAGTTACAAAATAGCATGAGAGGTATAAAAATTGCTTGACACAGAACTGGTGCAATTAGCCACTTAGGTTTTGGCTGAAATCACAGTTATGCAATTTATAATAATTGTTAATTAATTAATTGAGACGTAAGTTTAAATAATTATTTACAATTTTTTTTGCTGACTTATTGGTTTGAAAGTTATAAATAAAAAGTAAAGATTTGTTACGTTCATTTTTTATCCTTCAAATTATCTCTTTAGCCATTTATTAACAGTAAAATTACCCAATTGATAAAGTTTGCCAGGAATGATCCAAAGCAAGCGCATGAGTTAAATAGTAAATATGTCGTTATCGAAGTGAAAAACTTCTCTATAAAACTATCAAATTTAATTAGTATTAGTGGCTTGCCAAATTTGTTTATCACAAATTATCAAACGCTTTTTACTGATAACAGCTGCTGATACTGCTTTTTACTGATAAGCCTTTAATCTTGTTATCAGTTCAATCAGTAACTTTAATTAATTATTTCTCAGTAAATGCAATTTCGAAATTAATAATCTGAAAAGATATAATTTTTTTATTTAAGTATTGGATATTAAAACTAACTAAATATTGGCGCAACAATTCTAATACTGTCAAAACTAACGTTCAATCATAAGTTACTATTTCGAAGAATACCGATCACATTTATAAAATAACTAAAATATGAAAATAAAAAAAAATAGTTTCGGACTAAAAATAAATTTTGGTGCAGAAAAATTCCATATAATAACAAAAGTTTGGTTAAAATTAAAAGAGTTCAACTACAAAGGCTGAAATTTATAAAAATAAAATTGATATCTAGAAAAAATTCAAAAAGTTACCACAGATATATCTGAATAAAGACTGTACATATTAACTAAAGTTTTTGCAATCACAGCAAACTGATATAAACGCATTAAAAATGGATTTTGTGATGTGTGACAGTGATAAGTTTACATATCAAACTGATGATAATAGTAGGATATCAGTAAACTATCTAATTGTTGATAATAATAGGATAGAATTGGGCCGTTGAAGCAATAAGATAAGATATTATTGTTAATTTAACATTAACAGGAATTTTCTGAATAACATTGCATTAATTATCAGCAGATATAGACAAGCAGTCAAGTTCTTGACCTCTCGAAGTTATTCACGACTATTTATGAGTTCTAAAATATTGCTATCACTTATCAATAACTAATTATCACCGATTTAGAACGTCATATGATCGTAATTATTATTAAATTAATAACAAATGTTTCACCTGGAATAATGAAATCGTATTTGCCACTCTTGCTGTAATATTCAATATCAGCCATAACTGTTGGAAATAAAGTTAGCGTTACAAAAAAAACAAACCAAACATTGAAACATTGGAGCTGAATCTGAAAATGAATTTAGCAGAAACTAATTTGTAGCTTTTGATCAAAATCAGCAGCGCATATGATGCAAGGTCTTTTCAATGAATTATCATTTATATCATCACTATGAATTATTCGTTCATGAAATATGCAAGATTAGTCGATTTTCAATTAATATAATTCAAAATCCGTGATACCATTCTTTAACTCTTTGAAATAAACTTAATTATCTTACTCAATATTAAGCTCATAGTTTCTGTGATGCATACTGCTATTATTTATGGTGCACAATTTAATGAACTGATTACTAAGTTATTATAAATGTGTAAGTAATATTAAAGATCATACGGCTATTAATACAGTTATCATCATCTCTGCAATTGTATTGCAATACGCAATGCATAATTATAATAAAATGTAATATTTGAAAAAGAAACCTTCTTAAAAACACTGTAATACAATTTCAACTTTGACCAGAAATTCATTTTCATTAAGTTAGTTTCATTCTCTTCAATCTGAATTACTTTTGATGATTGTTCGCTGTGCAGACTAGTTTCATCGCTAGTGCTCTCGTCGCCTTCAATCTTCTTGAATAAATTTTGATCTTTTTTTCCTTTTTTCGCCTTATTCACATGGAATTTGTAGAAATCCTAAAGTATTATTAATTATTATTAAAGTTAACTTAACTTACCCTAAATTATTATTAAAGTTAACTATTGATTATTTTTAAAGTTAACTTAACTTATCCTAAATTATTATTAAAGTTAACTTTTTCAACAATCAAATTATTATAGCACTTTGCAAAAATTAGTAAGCTTTTGCAGAAATAA